TCCTCGATCCTAAAGCCCGGGTGTTGCTTTTCCTTTGCACTGTCTTTGTCGTGTCTTTCGACCAACCCTGCTCTTATTTAAGGTGACCAGACAGCAAGTGTGAAAAATCGGGACAGGGGGTGGGGGGGTAATAGGAGCCTATATAAGAAAAAGACCCAAAAATCGGGACTGTCCCTATAAAATCGGGACATCTGGTCACCCTACTCTTATTTATGTGTTTTGTGTATTTAAAATATATTGCTGTCTTAGAAAATACAGCTCTTTTCATACCTAGAGGTGGCTTAGCAATGGCTAGGCAGAAGTCGGTCTAATGTGTGAACTGATAGCTGTTAAGACTGTGCTGTTAGGGAAATGTGAAACAGAAAAGCAATGTGTAAATGAGAGAAATGTGGTTATGAGGCTTTAAGTGTCTGTAATGCTATATACACTGTGCTTTGTTTAAAATGGTAGCACTGTAGTGAGCATGCTTGTGTGGCTACATACTTACTGATTTGAAAACTTATGGTGTGCAAAACTCAGGTGCAGAACTCCATAGTATTTCAGCTAGTGTTTCTTTTTGTGGTTTATTCTTTTCTCCTATCTTTCTCCTGTACCTATTCCACATATACAGGGCCAGATTGTGCTCGGTCTTTGGGCATGTGCACAGTGTAGAGATGGGTGCAAAGAGTCTTTCCTGCCTTTTGCCACCTGAACCAGGGTCAGGCATAATTGTAGTGGTGACCTTGAAGGGGTAGCCACCCCAAAGAGGGTAGGGGAAGGCCTGCCCCTTTCAGACCTGCCAATGCAGCATAACTGTCCACACAAGGGTGAGAGAGAGAATCCTAGGAGCAATGCAGCAGGTCTGTTCCCATTGTACAGCGGGGAATGCCAAAAGGACTTCCTATAGAGCAGTGCAGTTCTGTTCTACCCCCCAAAAGGTCCAGTGCGTGTTAGACACAATCTGGGCCACTGTGTGCAGTATTGTCAATTACTAAAGCTTCTACTCTGTGTACTATGGCAAATATTTATGTGCAGTTAGAGTGGGTTAATGTTGCTCTGGGAACCTTAACATTTTCTACTTTCTGATTTTTGTGTGTGGACTTAAACTGGCAACCTTTAATGTTGTGCTAATGTAGCTTTTTTGCCTTTAATATAAGGCATGTTTGGTTTTAACAAACATGCAGAACTGTGTAGGGTTTTATTTTGTTCTTACTTGTGCCACGTTTGGAGTAAAAGGGAAAAATATAATGGCTTTACCCAAACTGTTCCCATCTTGCATTCCCTAATGATTTGCTCATTTAAAAATGGGGCTATCTTGTTTTCTAGATAGACCAGAGAAGGCTGCTGGGAATAAAATGGCTCTTTGTTTAGAGGGTAACCCAAAAGACAGACTTGCAGGCTGAAGCCATAGTGTCTATTATTGGCAGAAATACAAACCTTTCAATAATAAATGAGCCCTTAGCCGCTCTCACACTGTATCTGTCCTCAGGGGCCAAGTGCAACAACATAGTGGCCTACTGAGGAACTTGGCTAGAAATTTATGGTTTCATCAGCTTGCAGAAACAACTACAGTAATTAATTGGACACGCCAGGGAATAACCTAAATGGTTTGTTCTTTGTGATTAGAGAGCACTCCTTTAACTAGCTCTCCAATGAAGTGTGGGTCACTGAAATCTGTGTGCAACAAAGTATATTGAAGAATGTAGTTTTGATAGGTTATTTTATGTTTGCAGTATATATATGATGTTAATGGGCCCAATCATATAGTTCTTGCCTGCAGAAACTTTCGTTAAGGTAGACGGGAGGCTGTGAGTGCATGTCAGATGCAGGAGTCAGCCCTGAAAATGTTGAACAGCCATTAGAAAAGGTGTGTAGGTGTTAAATGATGGGAGGGGTTTGGTGTGATGAGGGGAAACAAGCTGATGGAAGTGGCTACACCCAGTTTTTTGTTTCTTAATATCTAAATAATAAATATATATTCTTAAATAGTTTCAGCTTTTTTAGCAAGTGAATAGGCTACACCTGTGCTTAGCTTGCATCTCATCATAAGTAGTATTAACTGTTAAAAGCATTCACTGATAAGTTTTTGAAGCTTTTAAGGTTAAATCTTTAAACTTGATGCATGACATGTTAGCCACTCAGCTCTCATTAATGGTCAAGGAATTATGCTGCTAGAGCCTTGAATGTCCAGTTGGGATTGTAACCTTGGGGAAATGTTTTCAAAGTTGGCTTACAAATTTGCACCTGCAAAATGGTTGTGCATGCACACAGTTCTCATTTATGTTCAGAAATAGGGTAAAAGTATAATTACTCCATTGTTAGAAAGTCAAAAGGCTCATAGGTGCAATGCCTAGGGCCTTTAAAAAATGACCTCTAATGTTCATTGAAAGGAAGCAGTCTGTAAAGATTTTTTTTAAAATATACGCACTTCAGAAAGCTTAAGTACTTTCTGTGCTGTTTTTTGTACCTTTGTAGTTTTGAACTTCTATCTGAAGGTCAAATGGGATCACTGGGTTAATTTAATTAAAAAGAAAGAAGAAACTTTCATATGCATCCATGTTTTGGGATGTAGAGGCAGTGGACAGCCGATACCAAAAGTGAATGATTTCATAATATAAGGCCAGAGAACTACACATCGGCGAGTCTGTTCATGCTGATGTGCCTGGGGGAGGTAGCCACTTCCAGGAGGCAGTATGGATTAGTGGATAGAGCACTAGACTGGGGGTCAG